GCGAGCCCGTCCCGAGCCCGCGGCGTTGCGACCCGGCAATGCAACTGCCCACTGTGGCCGTGGCCAGGCCCCACGGCGCGTTGCTAGGCAGGCCGGAGAGCAGGTGCAGCCTCCTCACTGGCCTGGCCTGAGCTGCCAGCAGGCAGGGCGTCCGAGGGGGGCGCTGTAGTGAGCAGGAGTCACCCAGAGACTTTTCTCCTGGCTCCTCAGAGCCCCGCAGGGGAGCTTCCGGCCTGTGCCGAGCGGTGCAGTGTCCGAGCAGAGTCCTGGAAGGAGGGGAATGCTCGTGGCTAAAGCGGCGTGGGCTTGCTGTGCTTCCCGGGCCCGAGGTGCCAGGTGCTGGCGCGTTGCCGCTCCCTCTCGCTGCTGCTGTGGGCGACTCAGCGTGCGCAGGGGCGCCATTCCTCCCCTCTGCTTTCCTGCTCAGTGGCCGAGGGGGGTGTCCCTGGGGTGCGAGAGGCCCCGGCGGGAGCCCAGAGCCGCCTAACCCGGGCCTGGCCGTGTGCTTCTCTCTGACGCAGGAACGAGCTAAACGACCACCTGGAACCCATCGCCTCCAGCCCCCCACCTGGCCCCCATCGACTCCAGCCTGGACAACCTGCAGGCCATGCTGAGCACGCACGGCTTTAGTGTGGACACCAGCGCGCTGCTGGACGTGAGTCGCCCCAACCCGCCCTGGCGAGCCGGTCCGGGGCCCCTTCCCCCCACTGACCCCTCTCTCCTTCGGCAGCTCTTCAGCCCTTCCATGACGGTTACGGACATGAACCTCCCCGACCTGGACAGCAGCCTGGCGAGTGTGAGTGGTGGGGACACCCCCTGGCCCTCGGGGTCTCCTGGGAGGCAGAGATCACCAGTTAGCACTGAGCCGTGGGCTGACCGATCCCTGCAGGGAGCAGGTCTGCTCCGTTGTTCGTGCTGCGGCGCGTCTCTCCTGCACCCCGCTCCCCGAGAACCGCGCGTGGCCCCCAGAAAGCCTCCGCTGCCTCGTAGCCCTCCGAAGGCCTCCTTGCTGGGCAAACGCCCCCGGCACGCCGCCCAGCCCCAGAACGGTCCCGCCCGGGCCAGCTGCGTGGCTGTTTGGGATGGTCGGGTGCGAGCTGCTTTCTCCCGGTGTCCCGGCACCGGGCTCCTTTCCCGCCAGGCTGGTCGCCCTGGTGGAGCTCTCTGCACTGAGCTTTTCCCCACGGCCCGAGGCCTGCTGCCGCCTGGCCCCCCGGGCCCCTCGGACTCCGAGGGCGGTGCTGACGGCCGCCCACGGAGGCTCCAGGTCCCTGGGGAATGAGCTCTGCAGAGCTGGTCCCAGCAGTTCTGCGAGGCAGCTCGGGCCCTCCCCCGGCCCCGGGCCCCAGTGCATTCTAGTCTCAGGGACGCTGCCGCCCCCTCCCGCCTGCTGGCGCTCGGAGGAGAGGGCCCTCCCCGCGCTCAGCAGCCCCCCCGTGTCTCCCCACAGATCCAGGATCTGCTCTCATCCCAGGAGCAGCAGAAACCTGCGGAGATGGGTAAGACCGTCCCTGGCCCGGGCCTCCCGTTAGCGCCCCAGGAGCAGGGGGCAGACAGCTCCTCCCTCTGAGACACACTGATAGGGGATTCCCAGCGGGGCCCTGCAGCTCCCTTACCCCCAGCCAATGGCTCCCAGCGCCGC